AACTAGGAAAATTATGAACTCGCATTGGAGTCGATCCCACGACCTCTTGCCTGTGAGTCAGGGTCACTACCGCTGTGCTTTCTTGCTTCATAATTTCTTTCAGGAAATCGTTCCACAGATAGTGGAAGCGGATTTGAACTCAGCGTCTTGGGATACGTATACGGTTATACATCTCATTTTAGATTGCCGAACTGACCAATGACCTTTCCTTGTCAGGTGGCCGTAAATACAGATTGCAACACGGTCAGATAACCAATATCATCAAAGTGCACACTTTCGTGAGGTCGACGTCATGGGTGCTGCTGCTTGTTAGTGAAATCGCTAGCATACATGATAGCGTCCATGAGAAACTGGATTTCATGAGTGCTTTCTGATGCTGTTGATGTGACGTCTGTGTTGCTATGTCAGCATTTACGACTCAGTTGAATACGAGGGTGGTAAGGGGGTCGTATTGGAAGAACCGCCCCTTATGTTAGTGATGCTAAAAGGATCGTATCGAGAAGAGTACCTACGCTCTGTTTGACCCTGGCTGGATATGAGAGCCAAAGTGCATAGGCTTTTTTCTAAGGTCACATCGCACGAGCTCCTGCGAGAAACAAAAACATTGTTTCTACCTGCCAAGCGTGTCGTAATTGCGGACTCGGCAGCTCGTGTTTTGGTGAAATTCGTACCAAGCGTGCTTCTCGGTGGCCTTGATGCTTCTGAAGCCACTTGTGTCACTGAACACACTAGCCTAAATGTAGGTTCTACTATGACTAGATGCAAAAAAATTCGCCATAATTTCACCATCACCCGCTTCTTCCCTGCTCTTAACTTGGCAACACATATAGGGAGAGACCATAATAGGTGCCCTTTAACTGTAAGAGCGGTTGTTCCCCACAGCGCGGTACTCATAGCATCGGCCTAGATTTAACGATCTCAGAGTCTTTGACGTTTTCATTTTCAGTGTTCATCAGTGCTCAGTTTATTGAGAGTGTCAGAGTACTGCTGCTGACATCATCTCAGAGCTAACTTATAAAAAGAGGTAGAAAGTTATCCAAAGAAACAAGGACTTCCCTCTTTCAATAGTCGAGCCTACCCACTAACAAGGGAGGTCGTTCAGGGTGTGCCAAGCTTTTTCAAAATGGTTTCTTGCATGACATTGGGGCACATATGGGGACCACAGAAGCATGGTTCATTTTTCCTGAACGGCCCTCTGAATACCAGAAAAGGGGTCCCTAGTTCGATTCCTCGTGGTGACAAATTTTTGCATTTCGAGTTGACGTTTCAAAATTCGCGCAAAATGGAGTTAGCATGAATAATTAGTACCAATTCATGATTAGGACCGTCAGTAACCCTTACAAATAGACTTTGATTGAAAAACTGGTGAAAAAGGTGTGACTAGGGACCCCCTTTTCTGGTATTCAGAGGGCCGTTCAGGAAAAATTAACCATGGTTCTGTGGTTCCCGCATGTGCCTCTATATCATGCAAAAGACCGTTTTGAAAAAGCTTGGCACACCCTGAAAGACCTTCCTTGTGTGATTGATAATTCGCGCACGTAGTCAAGGGGTCTCATGAGAAGCTTTTTCTCCACACTTGGCTAACTTCATCTACATTCTCTTCAAGTGCCAACAACGCAAAATGATCTTTTTGTTATTGGAGTTCTTAGTCTGGATATATGGGATAAGTAAAGGGGGCCCCAGCCCTGGAGATTGTTGAGGCTGGCTAGGGACTATGTGGCCATTCAAGGAGACATTCAAAAGCGTAGTTGATGATGAGAAGGTAGCCATTAGAAATCAATATTGAGGTGGTTAGTGGTACAGGGATGAAGAAAAAACCATGAGAAACGGTCCAGAACTCTAAAATGGGACCCCTTTTTGCCATGATTTCCTCTTTGATGCGACTCTCATCGGTGCTGCCCTGTTAATGGCCAACGCTCTTTCTCTGCTAAAACGGCTAGAGTCAGACGGCGAAGGGTTACCCATCGGGGGCGTAGAGGCACCGGCATCGGTGTGGCTCTGCTAGGCCGCTGGGCATACTCTTTGAGGGGTGCGTATTATCCTGCACCCCATCCCCGTAATCATCGCGCAACTCCCTTGACATAGGCAATCGTTCTTCTGTGAGGCGAACATTATTGTGGGATACCCCTCTGAATTAGCGGGACTAATGTTTGCAACCAAAGTCCCATTGTTTTCTGTGCTCAGTTTAAGGTCTACAGAAATTAATCATAAATTCACAACAGTCAGTTATCATAGATGCATTTTGTTTATGATTTCTTGATCCCTATTTGTTTTGTGTTCCAGGAGGATCCTGATTTCACGGCAGTGAATCCATGTCGAAAAGTACCCAGTGCTTACCATCGATAGAGTAAATCTGACGGAAAGTTTGGCGATAATGGAGTATCTGGATGAAAAATATCCAGATCGATTCCCTCTTCTTCCGAAAGATAAGGTTATGCGAGCTCAAGCGCGAGCCGTCGCTCTGCAAGTAGGAACCTTTCAAAGTCCCTTCATTTTTCATCTCATTTTTTTTCTCTAGATCGAAAATTTTCTTTTCAATCGCTTGCAACTTTGGTTAGCGCTTGCCATTACGGAGGGATCCCCTGTCCAGCTTTAGACTGGACTAGCGGGCGGTGCTGCAACCTGCAGCATACCTGCTCCAGCCACGGAGGATACCATAATAAGTTGCATACTAGATTACGGTATCCCTACCGGTGAATGGCCCAGCTCTGTTGGAAAGCTTCCGGTGTGCTGCGTACTGCGAACGCTTGTTGGTAACTTTCACAGCGGCAGCTGGCGTAAGGCAACAAGCTGAGCCGCGCCGGCCGCCACTCTTTGCCGTTTATGCACTGCGTAACGTTTACTTGTCCGACCTTAGTGTGAGAGTGTAGAGACAACAAAATCGCAAAAAGAAAAGTATAACGAATTCAACCAACATAATTGCACAAGAAATCAGAGGATTGCACAAGAAATCGTTTTTCTCTCCTTTTCAAGTTTTGGAGAAATTCTCGAATCCCGAAGAAATCGTTGATTCTCTTTTCAAATTTTTGAAAAAAAAAATTCTCAAATCTCTAGCACGGGGGTGGCATTTATACGCAACACGAACATCTCGCTTCCGATAAAACTTATTGAAGAGGTGCAAATGTTGGTACTGCCCCAACCCATCATCTGAAAGCTGGCAGGCTTTGCCACTGCTTTGTCGTTTGGTCTGCTCCAGCTGTTTGAAGCGCTTGTGACGTCACCGCACGCCGCTCGGATCGCGCCGCGGTCAGTTTCTCTCCACAATGGTGAGTGGCAAAGGACGTGGCCGTCGCAGAGTCGAGAGAAAAGTTTGGGAGGATATTGCCGTGGCGACTGTTCCACGGTCTGTACGTCCAGTATGCAGGTTGGCCTGATAGCTGGGTCATCTTGCTCTTATAGCTGGCATACTTCGGCGGGTTTTACAAGTGTTCCGTCCAGCCTCCGCTGCTTCAGCTAATACTGCTGCCCTTCGCTCCTTGAGATTTTCCTTCATCGTATCCTGCATAGCTTCGCAAGCTTGAACGTGAGTTAGTCACTGCCTGGAGCTGCTGCGGCTCCATGTTGGCGTATCAGCGCGAATTCTTTGCCTTCCTCGCCCTATCGCGATGGTGTTCAACAAGCCGATAGTGTACTTCCTCGATGCTTCATGATCAAACTTGGATAATGTGGGGCCTGAAGGAGAGATCCGCAGGGTATTCCCACGATCTCTGTTTGTTTTGCCATAACTGCTCTGGAGCATTCCGGTACTGTGTTCTAAATGGAGCTTTCGCTCTGCTGCTTAGTAGCGCTGTTTCAAAAGTGGTTTTGAAAGTGCGGGTTTTTGTTCAGCTTTCAAAAAATCATTATTTTAGATCGCTGCCAATATTCAACCACTGCAGAATAATGCTGTTGTGAAGTATTTGAATGCAGAAAAGCCTGGCTATGGTCAGAAGGTATTCTTCATGGAGTTACAAACCACTCACCTCTTCTAACACCGTGCAACGGTTTCAGTGGGCTTCTCACTGGATAATGCGGGGACTTGGAGACTTAGAGCAGTTGGTATCGAAAACCACCGGTGGCAAGTATGCTGTTGGTGACCAGCTCACCATAGCCGACATTTGCATTCCATCCATTCTATACAACGCTAGAAGGTGCAGTTCCAGTAGTAGTTATTATTTTTACCTGACAGGAGTATTTTGTTACTTAAAGGCAGTGATCACGAGCTGGAGAGGGGTGCGTTTTAATGACGTCACTGAACGTTATTGGTGGAGGGTGTTGTAAGAGGTCTAGTTCACCATTGCCTTCTCATCAAAACGCACCGTAGTCCACCTGTCGTGAACAGTGCCTCCAACATAGAATTCGTACCTAGCTTCTTTGAACTTTATATTTTCTAGATTTGGTGTGGAAGTTTCGATGTACCCAAACCTGTGCAAGATCGAGGCTGTCACGGCAGAGATCCCTGAGTTCCAAGCTGCTCATCCAGATCGACAACCAGATGCAAATTTGGATGCCAAGTGAAAGTATAGCTTAACTACATCCCTGGAGTAGTTCTGCTCACCATGGTTGCGTGCGGTCGCGGCGCGGTACAGCTCGTCGTCATGTATACCTGAGGCCCGCATAACTGATTAAAGATGTGATCGGTTCTATTCACTGTAATCACGTAATCACACCAATATGTGAATTTCTTTCGATTTCTGGCTCTCTTTTCGGGACTTCACTTTGTTACGTACTGGTTTTACTTTACTGGTTTTATAAGAATAAACATGTAGATGTTGTCATGTGCGTAGGTGATTTCGTGGTGTGAATTCGCGATTATTTACTTGAGAGCAATGACTCATTTGTCGTCTGGCGCCCTCATGGGCCACTTTTTTTCGCTATCGCTAAAACTGGTTTGACGTGAATGCGACAGTAGCCGTGAAGTTGATCTATTCGTGAGCGTTCACGGTTCGGAGGTCAGCTGGCGATAGTGGAGTATTACTAGCAGTTTTTCGCATGTTTGATGTTTTGATGGTTGTGATATCTTTGACATGCACGGTCTCATTAAGTCCATATTCAAGGTGTTTAATCCAAGAAGTTCCCCGATTTATTTACTGATGAGATTATTGGGAAGGGTAGCCTTTTTGGCACTATCGTAATATACGGGGGCATTTTAGTGGCAATGCATTCAAAACCACGTCGAACATTTCCTTTTGTCAAAAACGGGACTAGGCCTTAGATGGGGAGGAGAAAATGCATGGTCAATTTTCTTTTTTCGAAGTTCCAAAATCCCATGTATTTTGCGATTCCTTCCTCGGTTCCTTTATTATTTTGTATTTTTGTAAAAGATATGCTTGGCACGTTCATGAGGAACAAAAAGGGGCTCTCGATTGCCTTCCAAAGGACTATAACCTTCCATAGAGTGCATTGCGGGGATTGTGTTTGCGGTTTGGGAAGCTAGGTCGTTATATGTAACGACATAAGAAATCCATCAGGAAGGTGGTTGGCAATTTTTCTGTAGAACTGGGAGAAATCTTGAAAGTTTGGGCAAAATCAACAGTTAGTATCTTCCTCTACCCGGTCGACGGCGCACTTTTGGGAGTAGGCGGGGTTGGAGGTGTGTCAAGTAGGACCAATTCGAATGACGCCATCAATAACATTTGACCGGAGTGAGGCTAGCTGGGGGTTTTGTAAAAGTCAAGCACACGCTATGGCTGACCCTGACGCAAGTACTGGTTTGGCATTGGTAATGGCTTAACGAACATGATGTCAGAAAAGGGAGGCAGGCATCTGTGAGGTAGATAGTTTCCCTCAATCTATGATCTTCAAAATTGTTGCAGCCAGTCAGCAACGAAAGAGCGCCGATTGTTTTGGTTGATAAGAGTCGAGTGGAGCTGAGATAGCGTTGTCAAATTCGTCGTACTCCCCGTAATACCGGTCATCATGATAAGTGCAACGCTATGAGGGGGCAGTTATTTTCTATAACTATTACTCATTGTTACCGTATTCGAGAGCCGCCCCTGTGCTTCCCAACGGTGACCGGCTCGCCTCGGGTGATCAAGCCTATTTTGTAGAGATTTCCTGCTGATGCAACCATTATGTGGAAGTGAGTTTATTCACTCTCCCACTTAGCCCTTTCTGGACAATTTTGCTCAGCAATAGCTTGGAGCAGGGTCAACCGTGGCATGTGGTCGACTTGGGATATACGCCCTCACCCCTCCCTCCTATGGCGGGTGGTATCAATAGTATCACCAAACATAGTTCAGTCTCAACCACCCAGCAATTTTTCGAATCTTTTCGGTCCCCGGCGCTCATGTTCTTTTAGAGAGGGGGCATCCAAGTGAATGAGCCAATTACTGTGCTTGGGCCCTAGAAGGGGAAGGGATCCTGGGGGAGCATGTGAGCAATTTGTGTTCTCCCTGGCGTTTCTCCCCTTCTGCTGGGCTTAGTCCTAGTCTCACCTACCATCGGCCTGTTTCGAATGTCCCCCCCCCACATGGACATTAGCGCCCTCATCCCGGTAGGGGGGGGGGGCATGTGGTCCGCTTTTACACACATCCTGTAGCTTCCTTTTCCTGCAAAAACTGAGCTACATATGTATCAACTGTGGCAACGCATGCTGCCTCCCGCCCCTTCAACGGATTAGACCCCATTTCCCACACTGTATTTGCGGCCTTCAACAAATCGCTACAATTTTCAAAACTTTTTAAAAATTTTGCAAAATTTTTCACAATCGCCAGAAACTTCCTTCTTCCATGTCTTCAAAAATGCAACCCTATCTCTTCGAATACAATTTCTATCCTCAAAGTCAGAAAATACGTTTCGCAACGTCTAAGTCGGCCGGATGGTCCGGTAGTGTTCCTATTGTAGACGAGGTAAAAGAGCGAGTCTCACGGTGTGGAGGGCTTTTTCGAAACGATTTTTGCGGACTGTAGGGACTCTCAGTGGGCCGCAAGGCTTGAAGTTCATTTTCGCTGACTAGCGTCCTCTGAGGGCCAAAAGAAACAAAAATTGCTCGGTATGGGTGGTTTTCGGTAAATCTGACTGCAAAGCTTTACTGAGTCGTGGTAATGAGTATGACACCTACTTCAAACTCTGACGCTATTGGAGCAAATCTGGGAGCTCTTAAAGGGATCTTCCACGGACCATGGACCAGTGGGCGGGACCGGAAGTTTTTGTGACGAAATGCATGGTAGGTACGGATCCACGTGTCGACGCACGAACGTGAACAGGATTCACTTCAAACCTTCCCATGAACGTGGATCCGTACCTACCATGCATTTCGTCGCAAAACCACTTCCGGTCCCGCCCACTGGTCCATGGTCCGTGGAAGATTCCTTTAACTAAAATGCAAAAATTTTCATCACGGTGAGTTGAATTTTAGACCACTTTGTGCCAATTTTTGGTCTTCACGGCAGAAAAGTAGGCTTTGGTTTTGTAGTCCACTCATGAGTTCCTATAGCATGCAAAAAACCGGCGTTTCTGACAAATTCCGCATCATTCCCTGAAAACCTTCACTTGCCCTTCAAGCATTTCGGAGCTAATCAATTGACTAATACTACTGTATAAACATACATATATGTATTGATTGTTGCGCTCAATATTTTGCAGAAACTCTCTCACATTCCAATTGCCGAAGTTCCGAGATTTCGATCACCTCTGACCGGAAAACGGACAGCTGTGCGATGCGCAATGCGTTGCAATCTGTCGAAATGATGACTAATACTCCAAACATGCCGCCCCGACCGTCTCAAAGTCCGGAGTGAGCGCCCGCTTGTGCTGAAGGGAGGCTGAGGCGCATTGTGATGCAACTGACGTGGCGACGACACTGCTTCTAGCAGTATTCCTTCTTCTGTTTTCTATCGGTTCACTAAGAGTCTGGAATGCCTCACTAATACCGTTTAATGTTCCATATGTTACATCGCTTCTGTTAATTCTTTCCAAAAATGCTGCTATTTATAATACTAATGATTCGAGGTCTTAATTAACTTGCATAACTGAGAAAGACGTAACCTGGATGAGTCCACATCGAGGCAATTCCATGACATGGTTCGCATCGCTTGGTGGACTCGTCTAGCCGGGACGTTCTGATATGTACGAGGGTCAACCGGCTGCCATTTCTCAACGCAGAGAGTCGATTCGAAGTTGTTCCGATGGGTCGTATTTGCATGTGAACGATAATAGCTTGAAAAGAGTGTAAGTCGTGGAGTTAGAAGGGCAGTCCCCCCGGTTATTGTGCATGGTAGGAAAGTAATTTTAACGTTTTTTTTTGAAGATTTGGAAAAATTGCAAAAAGTGCTTGAAAAAACAAATAGAATATTACCGTTCTCATTACATGTTAACCCCATCCTCCTACTCAATGACACTGAAGGAAAAGTTGGCGTGTTGAACCTGTGTTCGACAACTGTCTCAGAACTTAAAATCAAATACACGTATGATGAGTATGGGTGGGTAAGGGATGAGGAGAGAATCTTATTCGGGGGGGACCGCGGTAAGGTCGATGTCAGACTTTGCGAATCGCGCGATTCCCTAGCGTCTGCGCTCGCGTTGCGGCCAGTGAATCATCAATTGGCTGGTACCGCAACGCGACCGCGGACGCTAGCGGATCGCGCGATTCGCAAAGTCTGACATCGCTTTTGGCCTGCGTGGTGGGATGGAAAAGTTTCATTGAGATCTCACCCACATGAAATAGGGTGAGTCTTCAGATTCTTGGAATCGGAATAAGGGACCTTGTACGCGACTCGCGCAGACGTACTCTGGGCTAACGAGGACGATAACAATGGTGTGAACGCTACAGTGGAGCATGAAGTATACAACGCAATACCGGCTGGCAATTTTTAATGAGGTTACGAGGCACAACTCTCGATGGAGTGAAATGCATTTGCTTGAATTGGGTAGATGAAAAAGGTTGAGAAGATCAGGAGACTGAAGTCAGTGATGCCGTCTTCAAATCTTCTTGGTGTGCCATTTTCACTGTCCTTCGTGATTTTCGTTGATTGGACCCAGAAAGATTTTCCAGTCTCAATCAAACACGCACGGGTATTCACTTCAGGTGATTTTTTGGGCTTCAGGGCTGTGGGTTTTTCCTTCACTGAAATGTACCCCTAGAGACTCAAATAGGACTGGAAAGCGCCGTGGATGAAACAATATCACAGATTTATTCGGATGCCTCAACCAGCAGTGACTCAAATTTGGGCGTCCAGCTCTAGTTGAACCAGTTTTGTTGAAGGGATTCTGCACAAAACTGGTCCGCTGTTAACCGCTCTAATTTTTTTGTGCTGACAAAGTTCCAGTTTCCATTTTGATTGTACATGAGTAATTTCGTATAATCTGAATGCATAAGTGAATAAGGGCAAACTAGAATCTCTACGATAAGTATGTTGGTCAGAAAGTTCCCCGCCGTGGATTTTTCTGTGAATATTCGAATAACCAAACGGCCTGGAGAGGCATGACCCTCGCCAGCTACCACTCGCCGCCAGCGACCGGGCGGCTTGTCGATTCCCCCATTCCGAAATGATAGGAGCTAAGACGAGGAGAACTCG